TTTAATTTTTTTTTAATAAAATACCTTTTTAAAAAAAATTAAATTAGCTAAAAAACGCGTTTTTTTCTGACTTGCAACTGGATAAATAAGTTTTAAGTATAGAAACGGAGAGTACAAAAAGAAAAAAGAAATACAATAGCAACATTCCTTAAATAGATTTGTGCGGTTAGAAAATTTAGAATATTTTGTCTTAGGTTCTAGATAACTTCAATATAAGTTAAGGCATTCAAAATGTACTTGCATTTTAAATTATTTAGCTGAAGAAGCTACAGACATCTTCCAAATAAACTGATTAAGTAAATATTAAATTAAGCTTTTATGGCAATACCAAAAGCCTGTAACTACAAATATTAAATTATTTTTAACTCAATCTTTAGACGAGATGAAGAAAAATCTTTGAGAAACAAACTTCTTTCAAAAAAGCTCGTATCAGCATATTTTCACTGAAATTAAATTAACCGGTAAAAATTAACGGTTTAGGCTAAGTGCAATCTAAGTGCATCTAAATAATGTTTCATGTGTTTATTTAGGCCAAAAAAGCTGATTATGAAAGAAACTTTTTTCTGGAAAAGACATTATCGGAAGCTATGTTGATTGACTCATATAAAAAACTTCGAAAAATAAAGCTTTTTTAATTTATCTACAGGTAAAAAATAATTTTTCTAGTATGAAGGATTCTAGATAGAACATGAAAACCTAAAATTGAGGGGAGAACAAATGAGACCTTGATTTCTTGCTGCTGAGGAGTCATTGACAAATGGTGTGGCGTGGTCCTGTGCCTCTACGACACCATGTTGAAGCCCATTATGTCTTATGGGGGTTTTGTGGATCACACTTGCAAGGAAGCTCAACGAGCAGCGCTTATGAGCATTTATGGCGCACTGAAAAACACTCCAAACACGGCACTTAATGCCCTTCTGCATATCGTGGCCATAGATATAGCTGGAAGATGTATATCCCTGAAAGTTGCTATCAGAGTTAGAGAATCTCAGTTTCTATATGAACACGTGGCTGAACATTCATACCGGATCTTTCGAATCATGAATTAGCCAAACCAAACTCTGGCGACTTTTTCACATGCCTTCAAGGGAATTTTGGGTGGGTAGAAGCCGTTGGAGTTGAGGTGCCTTACCTCGTTATCAATAGGGCAACGTGTCACTCTGTGACTAGCATGGTATCCAGGCTACAGCGGAATCGCAGATACCTGTAAATTTCACGAGCTGAGCCCGCAGGGAAAGGTACTTTAGCACCGATATCAGTAGAATGGGAACAAGTTGGGCCTCTCCTCATATGTTCTACTACTGAATAGCTGATCTTCACGGGAGCTTGACTAGCGCTGGGCTACCATCGGTTCATCCGCTGTCGCAAAATCTTTTTGGCCCAAGATCAATCGTAAGAGTAAGGCTAGCCCCACCCTATATGTAGGGATTCTAACAGGCCGTTGCCCCATTGGTGTTCATGCTGGAAGGCTGATAATCTCACCAGCTCACCAAAAAAGCTGTATGGAAGGAAGACGAGTTGGAAACATCTACGGATAGAAGAAACATACTCTTTGTTAATACTATAATCATTTGAATATTGATGGGTGTCATAAGCTCAAAAAAGCGCTACTGCATTCATATGCCATTTTATATTTACGAGATATCAAATTTTGTTCGCTGAACGCGTTTACGCCGCATTTGCGCTTGGCAACTGCACACATGGAGTTAACTGACAGCTACCGGCTTAGCATTGCCGAGAGGAAAAAAGCCCTTTTCGACGTAATTGAACGCCTAAGTGTTAAAAATAAAAATAAAAGTAACAGAATAAGGGCATAAAGCAGGCGACTAATCAAGCTGACAATATCGCAACCCACCCAACAACACACAACAACAAGCCAGCAAGGCATAAGCAACAACCCCTAGAGTCAATCACATAACAACACACACAAAAAAAACAATGTGTACGAGTTGGCCGCATGTGGTTTAAAAAGTTTGACTTCAGCGCTGATGACGGCAGCACACTTTTCTTTCATCTTGCACAATAGCAAAGCTGTTGACCCCCATTTCAGCGGCAACAGCAGCTACAAAAAGCGAACAGGCAACAAAATGAAAAAAAAAACACGGAATAGCAACAACAATAACATATAAACACAAATAGCGGTGGGAAATCAACGCACGTTGCACGCAATCGCGATAAGCCGGATATTCATTTGGGTTTAATATGTATGTGTGTGTGTGCGCGCAACAACTTTGAGTGATGCAAACTTCGCTCGGCTAAAGGGAGATGAAATAGAGACTGCGTGCAAAAGGCAGCAAAAAAGCACACACGGAAAAAAGCTATAGGGGGAGAAGAAAAGAATGGCGAACAACAGGAATAACAGCAACAGCGGTGAAGAAGCTTGCCTGGCAACAGCGTGCTAGCAATGCGTCAGCGCATAAAGCGTTTCTACTTTAAATTATGTGTGTTCATGTGAATGCACACCATTTAGTATATTATATAATGTATATACATATATATATGTATATATATATATATATATATACATGCATGTGTAGGTATACATGCGTGTATGTACAACTGCAAGCATGTAAGTAAGTGCGTCCCCTTTAAAATTCTTTTGCTACCTTTGTGGCACTCACGTTTGGGGTCACACAGCAGTCGATGGTATGCGCAAATTTATGACTGAGTAGATGCTCTGTAAACATATGCGCCGCAGTTCACGTTTTATTTATTTAATACGGGGAAAACTCTTAGGTTTCACATAGCATATAAATATTATGAAGAAGTGTGGCTACCAGGTTCACTTTTCTTATTAAGATTATGTGCTGTAAGGTAAAACTGGTGTGGCAACATGCAGTAGTTTGTTGTTGCAGGTCCAATATTAGGCCAAAGTTTAAGAAACTCGCTGTTAACTTAAATATATGAGATGTATTCTCTCTCATTTTCTTCTTACTGTGTGTTGTATAGGATAAAAAAAATATTTGAAACATTTTTTTTCTAAGCTGAAATCAATTTGCATTAAACAATCATTTTTTGGAAGTTCTAGGTTAAAGCAAATTTAGTTCCCCTTAATGTTTTTATGGCAGGCTATACCTTTTATCGTCCGTTGAATAAATCAACGATTAATTATTTCCAATTCTGCGTTTTTTGGCATTACGAATCGTTTCTTTAAACACTTTTGGGCTCTACTCAGCAAAAACATATATATATATATATATATATATATTCCAAGTCTGAAAAACCACGTTTCTTTGAAGATTTTTTCTTGAGAAGATATTTTGTTTAATAAATAAATACACATAATACATATTTACAAGATTTGATGTACATTAATATACTTTAACAATCGCTAATTCATTTTGAAAAATTTGAGGAAGACCTCTGAAAAATGATATCTGGCGGTGAGAAAGATTTTTCTGCGTAAAGTTATCGCAAATCGAAAAACCCCAAAAAAAAGTATCATTACAATAGATGAGTTCTGAAAATGATCGAAGAACTAGTCAAAAATTTGATTATTTGAAAACTTGCGGTTTCTCAAAAAGAACCCAGTTTATTGTGAAAGAATTTACGTTTCAGAGTGGTTAAAAAAATTATTATTAAAAATTTTATTTTTCCCCATCATTTGCTGACAGATTTAAAAAAAGTCATATGACAGTTTCAAGTCGATCGGTTCAGCCCTTTCGGCGAAAAATTCTTCACCAATACTGAAAACAGCGTTTCCTGAAAAGCGGATTCGTTCCAGTTACTTAGACCGGACTGCCTCTCTTCTCCTCTTTCATAGGATATATATTTAGAATTTTCATTTTTGTTTTTGCAGTTTCACTCTATAGTTTAATTTCGAGATCAGTTAATTAGCCACGAAATTTCATCCAGCACGTATGGTGCATTGACTATTTGAATAAATTATGACCGAAGTTGGTTTTGATTTCATAAAGACACATTAAGTCAGTTGGATAAGTGCAGATTCAGACCATCGCAGCCAAAAGATCTCTCCATAACTTAGTGTGGAGGAAACTCAAAACTTCTGTTTAAGAACCTGGCATTTGACGATACTTTCTAGTATGTATCCTCCATTGATTAAAAAGAAGACTAGTATAAAGTGCTTATATTTTAAAGTATGTTCGAATTCCAAGACCTTGTTGATGATTTTTAGTTTTATCTGTCGGCTTGTTGGAATTAATAACTATTAAATATTTTTTGTAAAAAAAATAATTTTTTCCGCTATACCTTCAAGAGATCTAGCCTTTTTAAATCATCACGGCAACGACTGATAGCTAGATTGTCATAATTATAATGCAAACGTTTGATTGTGCCACCGATTGTGTGGTATTTATTATACTTCTCATAAAACCAGAAGCCAGTAGGCTAGAAAATATCATTTGTTATATTCTGCATTTTTATTGAGAAGTACTGCGATTTTTTCTCTCCTCTATCGCGCCGAAAACTGCACCATATAGTTGTTTCCTGAACTGAAGGAACTGCAACTACCTTGTTCTCTAAATAAGATAATTTTTTTCTTATAAAAGTTTACTTTGGACGGAAATAGTATATTTTAGGAAGGCTTTATTACAAACCAGTTACTCAAGCCTAAAGACTGAATAGCGCTTTGGTGTTGTATGATAGAAGCAGTTCGTAAAGCAGCCGATAGTAACATCTCAATTAGTCTAACAAAAATTATAAGCTCTTGAGTTAGAAGCTTTTTAGATAGTGAAATCACTAATTAAAGCTCTTAGTAATATTCTGTTACCAAATCTGTTCCTTTAGAAACATTCTCTGCTATAGATGATATCAGCACGATATATATACGCAAGTGCACTGGTTAGCTTCTCAAAAAATTAAAAGCTTTATAACACTCGAATATTTGCCATTTTCAAAATACAGTAACGCATTTATATAAAACTAGCTGTAACAGTAATATATTTTCAAGCACGCTTTTATGTACTCACATATATCAAACGACCCTACTCATTCACGATTTTATTAACAGTTACCCTATTCTATTTCATCTTTATTTGCAGTCACGTGCGTGCAATTGTGTAATGTTCTAAATAATTTGGAAGCAAAATACATGTGCTAAACAAAAACAATAGCAATTGCAAGGACATCAACAAAAAGGGGATCCAAAAACTAACACAAACACAAAAAGAAAAGAGATGATATAGAAATAACACAATGGTGAGTTGCGAGAAACTAAATGTAGCTTAATACTTATATATGTAAAACTTTGAAGAGGTATATGTATAGTTCTATTCATAAATATATGTGTTAGTGCAAAAATTATTTGCCTTTAAATTTGTAGAACTACTTAAGGGACAGCGTGTATTGCATATTTTCCGAGGCAAACGAAAAGTGAGTGTACTCTTCCTCTCTCTCTACCACATCAAAAACTACACGCTCGGAAAAATGTATATACAATTGTATAGGACTAAATAAAAACGTATGTTGTTTGCTGTGTGTTTATTTCCCTAATATAATGAGCGCTTGTCTAAAATCCGGACATCCGCCTGAAGGTATGCTTGTTGCCATGGCAATCCTAATTAGGAGTGCTGTAAAATTGATGCCATGTTTTTATGCTTCGATATAACTTTATCAAAAAATTGCCCAACTAAATGAAAACATATTTTCTATTTTTCATGTAAACTTTTTTATTAAATTTCAATAACTTATATGGCGTTTTATACAAAAAGGCTTCTATATTTCAATTAAATAACATTTGCACTAAAATTCTTTGCACCGTAATCAAATTTCACAACTTTTCACTTACAAAAAAAAAATTTGTTTTCATTGTTCATATTTTTCTGTAATAAATTTCTAAGCGACTTTTATTTGGTTGTGTGAGTAGTGTTGCTGACGAGGCCTTTGTTGCATTTACTCAGTTATTCTCACACAGCCATCAAATAGGCATACTAGAAAGAGAGTTATGCCACATAATTGTATGGTGTATGCCATTTGATTTGCAAATATATAGTAAATAAATTTTGTAAACAATAAAGTTGCACTGAATACAAGCTTACCGCAATTTGCGCAATGAAATATTAATTTGCGATGCGGCAGCCATAGCAGCAAGCAGGAAATCAAATTAATTAATTTTCGTTTTGTCGACAAAGAGAGTTGAAAAATACGAAAACGAGAGCAAAAAAAAAAATAAAAATAATGTGTAAAGAAAACACAAATAGAGTGTTTATTAAACATTACTATTGCAGTATGTTTCTGAGTCGAGAGAGAAAATAGTAAACTTCTTGAAAAAATTTATATAATAATGCCTGAGTATGGTTTATAAGGATCGCATAAAGTATTCTCTAAAATGTATGAAATTTCTTGCCAGTTTTCAAATAACTTTCCGATTTATATATGTAGCATACATTTAGGCGCACAGTCTTAGAAAATTCATTATAAGCACATTAAACTAAAATTTTTCTAGCATTATAAAGAATTATAAATATAATATATATAAAATGTTTATCTAGGTTTCAGTCAACATCCCAATTTTATGGTATACATTTAGAAGCAAAATCTTAATAAATCGAATTTAAATACATTGTATATCACCAATTTTTTTTTGGTCTAATGGCAAGTTTATAAAATTTTCAAAAAGTACCATTTTAATCCACCAGTTTTCAACCACATTTCAAAAATTTGTAGCATACATATAGGCGCTCAGATTCGATCACAAAACATACCTTCACTCAACATATTATAATCTCTTTCTTGCCTCAAAATCTCATATAATGACAGTTAAGAAAGTATGTGTGCAATTGCAGTTATTATTTTTACAATTGCATAATCTACTTTTAGGCGGTATATGCAAAAAGAAAATATACTACATAAGACAGCAATGGACTGCCAGCTGAACACAGTCGTTCACTCCCACTACATATCGTGGGCACACACACTGATTCGTTTTACATAAAAATTTTAGCAATGCATATTGCCAGGCGTGCAACTGTAAAATTATTTCAAAGTTGTATGAAGTTTCGCAACAATTTGTTTCTTTTCGTTTTTTTTTTGCTTTTTCTGCCTGGCAATTTATCGCTCTCTATAGAGCGAGTTGTTGCTTTTGCAACTTGCTCAGTTAATATTTTGTGCGTTGTTGTTTTTGTTGTCGCTTTATTGGCTTTTGTAGCATGTACAACTAATTTAAACCATTATCTTTGCCACATACCACAAACGCATAATAAACACATAGCATACACGCACGTATGCGGGCGCAAAAATGTAGCAGCGTGCTTTTGCATATGCCATATGCCGCATTTTGCATGCCACACTCATCAGAAACTTTTGATTTGGTGGCACAAAGTTTTGCAGTTTTTTTTAGAAAGAATTAAATTGCTTTAAACGGCATGATATTCCCGTGTGTTGAATGAAAAAGTGATGTGGGGAAAGGATCGGTATTTTAATATAGACACAAAGGAATTACAAACAGATCACATTCAGTGAGTGAATAGTGTACAGTAGCTTTTCAAAAGCAATTAAGTTGCCTTATATTTTCTTACTAATTATAGTCCTTTAGTAAAGACAAGTGCACTTCAGTCTCTACTTTGCTCATCCTTTCTCAATATTTCTAGGATTTCAATCTTTAGAACCTTATTATATTTATTTCTGTCTTTGTCTCTGTGTCTGTCTCTTTCTCTCTCTCTATCTCTATCTCTATCTCTATCTCTATCTCTATCTTTATCTATATCTATATCTATATCTATATCTATATCTATATCTATATCTATATC